AAAAAAAAAAAAAAAAAAAGCATCTAATGAGAGAGAAAAAGCAGGGCTTCCTTTCCAGTAAGGATAGTGTATCCAAAAAATAAAAAAGAGAGAGAGGGTCAAATGACAAATCGAATATGACCAAGAAATGAAATTGGGACTGAAAATTAACCACAAATTTAAAATATGGAGATCATTGGTGACCTTGATGAGTAATTTCAGTAGAGCAGTGGGTACAAAAGAGATTGTCTCTTGTACCTGACTGGAGCGGCTTAAAGAGAGAATGAAGAACTGAGGACAGTGATTATAGATAACTCCTTGAGAAGTTTTTGTTATAAAAGGAAAATATCAAGGTTGCTGGAAGGGCATGAGAGATCAAGAGAGTTACTATAAATTGTTTAAAAATGCAAATTACAGCTTGTTGAGGAGTGAAGTGAAGGTGTGACATAGTTCTGTAGGAATTGGACTTATGGATAGGATCATGAATGCTATCACTTATGCAACTGGAGAAAATCTAATTGCATTTCATTTCATACCCTGTCACCACTTGGCTTTAAATCTATGTTGTTTAAACATTTTGACCTTACCGAAGTTAGTGTATTCCCTAAAGCTCTTATGAAATAGTTAAATTGAAAGTGAGAAATAATGTCAACCCTTCAACAAAATTGAGAGTCGTGTATGTATTATGCACTATTCATTAATTATCTTATTAATCTACACAGTGATCTTGTGTAGGAAGCACTATTATCTTTAATTTGCCACGAGGAAACCAAAACTCTAGGAATATTAAGTAATTTGTTCAATATCACTAGTTAAGTAATGTGAATATCAGAATTAAGAGGTGAAATTTCTATGCACTCTTTTTAGTCTGGGTCTGCCATTCCCCAGGAATAACCTTGTCCTTTTGGGTAGCAGAGTGAGTCAATTTTTTTTATGGCTCTTGTTGCATGTATAACATGACATTTACTATGCATATTAATTTGTGGAAAGTAGGGTAATGATAAAAAAACCCTCCAAACTTGTCATTATTCTATCAAGTAAAAATTTCCACTTACAGTGAAGAGGTCTTGGAAAAGAAGAAAAAAATTCAGTAAAAGCATGGAAACATAGCATCCTGATGTTAAAAAAAAAATCTTAAAGATCAAATAATCTGATATTCCCAAGTTATAAATAAGGCACTGGGGCCCAGAAAATAAGTGATTTGGCAGAGGTAGCAGAATTAGTCACAGGTGAACATAGAGTTCCTGATTTTGAATCTAGTGTTCTTTTCAATGCACTTAAAACACAATTAATGGGCTGAAACTAGCTTCTACAAAAAGAATTGCAAGTTCCCCTTAATTAATGTGGTTTTGGAGTACTTTATAATGATATTTCTTTTAAAGTCAGACAGAAAACGCTAACCTTTATTCCAGTATTTCTGTGTGAAGTTTTTGCCATTTCTATTGTAATCTGAATAAGATTTATTTTTTTTATTCACTTCATTCTCTTCACTCACTTGAATTTACTGCCCCTTTTCTTCATGTTTCTCTTGGCAAAGGACATACAAGAATAAGTATTTTGAGCCTGCATTGTGCGCCGCCGTTTCTGACTTAGAATATATTCTTTATCATCTGTCATAGCTTCCTGGGCCTCCACTATTGTGAATTCACTCTGTTAAGTCCTTAAGAAGTGGGGCTTCCCTGGTGGCGCAGTGGTTGAGAGTCCGCCTGATGATGCAGAGGACACGGGTTCGTGTCCCGGTCCGGGAAGATCCCACATGCCATGGAGCGGCTGGGCCTGTGAGCCATGGCCGCTGAGCGAGGGGGAGGTGGACTGAGGGAAAGAAAGAGAGAAGGAAGCTCAGGAGGGCAAGCCTGAAGGGGTACCTGGATTGTGAAGGAGGTCAAAGGGAGAAAGTGGGCATGCGCTTCACAAAGCTGGGAAGCCCCCAAGACACATACTCCTGCCTCACTACTTGTTAAAGGGTGATCCTAGTAATGATAAGAATTGGACACAAGAATGTACAACCTCCAAACCCCTCCCTGAAACCAAGACGGCATTTGATTGGAGAACCTCCTATGAGAGGTTGCTTCACTAATTTGCAGCTAAGATATGAGGGGACAGAACATTCTCATATTTGTCTAATTTTTAAAATCTGCTTTTGTCTGATAAGCAGACTTCCCAGAGCCACTTTGACAGAAATCTGCTTCAGGGATCATTGTTTGTTTGTTTGTTTGTTTCTAAAGCTTTATATACTTTAGTGATGATGTTAATTTAAACACAGAAAGCTGTGACCTGAGAGTGAGAATAAATTATAAACTAGTTATATTATAATATTGCACTATTCCACACTAGTCACTTGATAAGAGTTTTATAAGAAAAAATAAAGTTTCTTTTCCCCTCAAAAAAAGCACTAGTGTACAATAAGAACACAGAGCCAAGCAGAAATTTTATTTTAATGTCTGCTTTTCACTTACTGATTATGGGTCATGAGTAAGTTCCAAAAATTTTTCTTCTTTGAAAGTTCTTGGCTGTTTCACCTGGATTAGCCATGGATAATGTCATATCTCTAATCTTATAGACATGCTAGAAAGTTAGCTCAGCCATAACTAAAGGCATCAGACAAATGCCTTTAAGCCTTATCATTTAACATGACACCATAAATAATTGGGATTTCACAATTGGTATTTTAAACATTGTTTATTCTAGTTTCCACAATTTAGACTGTAATAAAGGCAAGCTCAATATAGTTCCAACCTATCACCCAATTTAAAATGCTCTCTTTAACTGTCACTGTGAATGAAGCTGCTAAGTTCCATTTGATATGTGGATGAGTATTTGTTTGGTGATGGGTCAGATATACTGAGTACGCCCATCAGTCTTCAACTATCTCTTGTAATGACCTGAAAGATTATCAGAAACTCTACTGGTAGAGATGCTCATTTGGATTAAAGTTGTTTCAAGTATGATCAAAATTTTTAGAAACACACGTGGATGTAGCCAGATAATAATCATGTTGCAAATTAGGTTTATTTCATTCAACAAATTTATATTGAATACAGTGTGTATATGCAAGGCACTGCTAGATTTGTGGTACCAGAGTAAGAAAAAGCCATTAGTTTGGTTGAGAACCACCTTGTTAGTGACTGTATATAACATTACAAGAATCGAGCCCTGGGGATCTGAGGTATTTAGATACTGGGGAGGGAAGGATGATGCAACAAATGAGACTAAGAAGAAGCAGTGAATAAGCATGGAGGAGATCCACAAATGAGCTAAACTCTTCAAAAGGTGAAAGTCATCAATAGTGTCAAAGTTTGTAAAAGGTCAAGTTAGTGAAGATTGAGAATTGACCACTGGATTTGGCAAAGGTGCAGATCATCAGTAACATTGACAAGAAGTGTTTCATTGAGTAAAGGATGAAAAGTATGTTTGGAGTAATTTCAAGAGCAAATGGGGAGAGAGGAACTGTACATTCATCTTTCAAGAAGCTGTGCTATTAAAAGAAGTCAGGAACGGAGTAGTAGCTGGGTGGAAGGTAGGGTGATGTAAAAGAAGAAATGCTTTTTGAAAAGATAAAAAAATGGCAGCATATTTGTATATATACTAATTGAGAGTATTCAGTCTCGAGAAAGAACCTGCCAGAATGATGATATTGGGGCTAGGGGACAAGAAGAAACGGAATCCAATATATTAATGGTGGGTAGACCTTAGAGGAATGGGCAGTACATTTATAGAAACAAGAGAGAACTAGTCTCTTGTCTTAAGAGACTATTGTCTTAAGACTTAATCCAGACTAATATGAAAATTTCCAATATGAATCTACAAGATGAGCCTGGACAGGGCAGGAAATATACAAAATGAGTTGGGAGCATCTTGTAGTTCTAGAAAGTAAGGAAGCTCTCAAACAAATGAAAAAACAAACCCAAACCCACATTGATGGGAATTATGTCAAGAGAACACAGGGGGCCAGATGAAAGATCTCTCAGTGGCCAAAAGGACAATTTGAGCAACAAAGGCAATAACATGGTTTTGGACCATAACACAAAGTATCAGTTAATATCCATGAGCCCATATTGATATAAATAAAAGATTGAACAAGTAAATTAATGAGGGAGAATAGACAAATCTCCCATAAGGAAAAATCAAAAAGTTGATGTAGAAACGTGCCCCCCCCAGGAGGAGCCCTACCCTTTGAGCATGGGCTGTGCATAGTGATTTCCTTTCAAAGAGTAGACAGAATAATATGGAAGGAGGAAAAAGTATAACTTTACAGTGGAGAAAGCTGACAAATGCTACCTCAGCAAAGCAGTCCATGTTAAACATCAGTAAGAAGTCATGTTGACAGCATGTACTCTTTATATGATGTGATGAAAAATGGCACTTGATTTTGTTTTCTATCAAGTCTCCATAACTCCAGTCTAAACATGAGAAAAACATCAGAAAAACCTCAATTGAGGGAAAGCCTACAAAAAACCTGACCAGTATTTGACCAGTATGCTTCAAAACTGTCAAGGTCATCAAAAATAACGGAAGTCTGAAAAACTATCACAATCTAGAGGAGCCTAAGGAGAAATGACAACTAAATATAATGTGTCCTGGATGGAATCCTAAAACAGTAAAAGGACATTAGACAAAAACTATGGAAATCTGGATAAATGTAGCCTTTAATTGATAATATCAATCTTGGTTCATTAGTTGTGACAGATATACCAGGGTAATATAAGGTGTTAACAACAGGAAAACCTGAGTTGTGGGGTCCATGGGAATTTTCTATATTGTCTATCCAATGTTTCTCTAAACCTAAAATGCTTCTAAAAT